GGAGGCTGAGGCAGAGGAATTGCTTTAACGCAGGAGGCAGAGATTGCAGTTGGCTGAGATTGCGCCACTGTACTCCAGCCTGGACAACAGAGCGAGACTCAGTCTCAGAAAAAAAAAAAAAGAGTGACAGGAAAAGAAGCCTATAGGTAACTAAACTTTTAAATTATTTGTTATTAAGGCACAAAATAAATTATATGATATTTCATATGTTTCTATTTCAGATAGAAGCAAAATTATTGAATAAAGTATAATACAGGCCTGTCCCTGTGTTGTATGAAAGCAGTGTACTTTGATTATTGCGTTTGCTTGAGTCCAAAGATGAGACTTTGGTTAACTTGAGTTTGATGTTAGATGCTGGCAGGAGTCTGTCTTCTTTAGAGGAGCTACATGTATCCAGGAGTCAATTCCTTGTACCCTAACACCACAAAGATTAGTTAATAGCACCTGATAAGAACTTTTTCAGTGTGTTGGAGGTGGTAATACACTTCACGTGATTAACTTTTTTACCTTTGAGAAGCCCCAGCAATAAGTCAGAGACTTAATTTAAAATTCAATTTTGGAGATGTCTGTCAAAGATGTTGGAAAGCTTAAAATATTTGATCAAAAGCAAACTACAGGTCCTTGTAAAACTATAGTTAATCATTTAACCAAAGTGATCATTGAAAGACTTTAAAGGCAATACAGAAAGTTACACATGTGTAAAAACCTTACTCCTTTCAAATTTCATAGGTTTTTAAAAACCAATTAAACACTTTCTAAAGGCAACGTAGGAACTATCTTGATGAAATGTAAAATCTTGTTTGTTAAGGCAGTTACCAAAAAGTCAAAGGAAAACCCTTTTTAGTGCGACTGCCTCTCCTTAGGGGAAAGCCTGTTTAGGTAATCTGGAAGTACAACTTATAATAAAAAGTGCTTGAATTTAGTCAGATATGGGAAGAGTGTGTACAAGGTTATGAGTACAACTGGGGAATAGATGACTCTAGGAGCTGCATGATAAGTATCCTGATGACAATGAAAATTTAAACACACCAAAAAAACCCCAAAAATACCCAAGAGTATAGAATCAAGTTATCCTGGAGGAAAACACTGCTTTTATAGACCTCTAAGATAAAATATTTCAGCATAAGGCCACAACATTTAGAACTAAGAAAAGTTACAGGAGCTGACAGGAAGCTGAAGGATAGAGTTATCCCAGGGCACGTCAAAGGGAGAAAAAACTGATAGCAGCAAGACAACAATTGAACAGTTGAGATATGAATCTCAGAAGTTTTCAAAAGAAATCGATTATGGAATAGAAAATCAAAATTTCTTGTCATTTTATTAAGAGCAAATTGATACCTTAAGGAAATATTGGTTTAATATAGGGAACCATTCTTTAGAAAGACTATTATAAACAATTCCTTTTTAATTATACCTAACTTCATTACATACAAAATTCCTTTTATAAATTCCCCTTCATGAGCCTTATCATGACTTACACAGACCATCTGTCACATGCTTGGACTGTATACTTGTCCTATGGTACCTGTTCCTTTTTAAAATTTTTTTCGATTTTCTTTTTCTAGATTAACCTTGTAATAAGAACCTGTTTCTTAAATAACCAGTCATTTTACTTTAGGAGAATAATTTACCATGCAAGATTCTTTCTCGTATAAAATTACTCTTTTTTCTTGATAACCTTCCTTACCAAAAATACATGCTCTTGTCTATATCTTTCTTCACATCTCTCTTCACCATTTACTGCTTCCTTTCTAGTTTGTTTCATAAATAACCTTTTCAAACTCGTAATTTGAATCAACTTTTAAAAAACGTTTGAATTAGACAAAATAATTTTTTCTCAATAAGGACACCTCTTGTTTGGCACATTTTATAGAAACCTAGGAAAAAAGAAATCCTGAACAATCAGATATTAGTATTTTATAGATGAGAAACATTTCACAATTTTTAGAACAGTTTTCTGTATATAATAACCCTTTCTGAATTGGAATTGACCAAGACATCCAGTAAGCATCCAAAATGATTTTAAGATTTTAAATTATACAAAAATTTCACACAGAAGCATTGATCTCATTGATGTGTACTCAGTTTTTCCATTTTAACAGTTTACCTAGAGTACTTTTGAAAACTGGGATATTACCCAAAAGTAGTAATTATTTAGTTATGTCCCTATTACTCATTTTTAAAGTCTGTGGACATATAAGGTGTTTTACCTAAGTAGGAACCTTAAAGTTCAATATATGTGCATTTTGTTAATAGCACAGAAGATTTAACTGTTTTCATTGAACTAGTAATATTAGTCTAACTCATCTATATCATCACACAAACAAAAATTATTTGTTTTTGGCTGGGTTTATGGTCCTATAGCCCTTATGTCATATCCTGACACCTTAATATATAGACATAGATAAATACAAAATCATTTGTTCAGTAAACTCAGATAAAAATATGCCGATCATTTTGAAGATATTTCTAACATTATGTAACCAGTAATCTTAAAACCAGTTTTATTTGTCAAGGATTATTAAATTTATGTGAACCTGAAAAGCTTCCTGACTTAATTTAAGAGCGCTTATTTACTTGTAAGTCAATTTGGTGGCAGGCTAGACATAACACACAAGCATATCTACATACTACATACACACAAACATGTCTACATATGTACATACACACATTTACATATGTGCATACACAGAAACCTCTACATATGTACATACACACATGTCTACATATGTACATACACACAGACATATCTGCATATGTACATACACAAACATGTCTACATAACTACATACACACAAACATGTCTACTTATGTACATACACACAAACATCTACATATGTACATACACACAAACATGTCTAAACAGGTATACACACACCAGCAAAGGTCTCATAGCTTTTACCTTGGGATTCCAACCGTAAAGTAACAGTACACACTCAGTATTTTATAAAAAATAGCTGGATACACGTTATCGTCTGACAAAACTGGAACCTGTTTCCATGGCTAAATTGTGTTTTCTCCAATATGTAATCTGTGAAAGCTGTGAACCAAACTTTGGGTAAAGCAATCTTTATGGCAGTTTTGTTTTTAAGAAAGCATCTTTTACCTTTTTTTTCTTTCAGTTTTAACCAAGTTTCCTGTGTTTACTTTCTAGTTAGTCGGTAAATAATGTGTCTTATCACAGCACCAACAGCTTAGTAACAGCCGATCTGAAGCAGGGAGAAAAGAAAACAGGAAAAAAGAGAGGTTTTGATGACTCTGCCTCACTTAATAGCTGCAGTTAACCATTTGAGCTCTCAAGTTTTCTTGCTATAGTTTGCCTCTCTGTTTAAAATGTTCACAAAAGTAGGTCTTAATAAGTAGCCAGCTGAAATCTCAAAGAGAATGAGAATATGAAGTTCCTGCCAGGCCTCTGCAAAGGAGGGAAAGAGAAAAAGATAGAAAAGGAGGTTTGTGAACCTTCTAGCTGCTGCATGGTATAGGGTTGGTATCCCCACCACTCTTGCTGACATCCCATCAGGGAGAGCCCCAGTACCCTGGACATGCACAGTGTGAGACGGATCCCTCCCACCTCTGCAAGTCATGGGCAAAGGAAACTGTTGACAGCTGGCGAGAGCTAGGGGTACCTTTGACTGAGATGAGTAAGTCTGTAGGTGGTTTCCAAGATAATCAGAAAGATGAAGTTGAAAGTGAAAAGGATAGGAAGAGATCAGGGACCACACTCAAAGGTCATACACTCACACTTACAAACAAAGGGTGAGCTTCCAAACAAACCCCAGTTAAGGGCTGGGTAGAATCCTGAATTTCTTTCATGTGTTCAAAACAGTTCCACAGGTATCTGAAACCAAGTGGAGCAATGCCCAGGAGTGCCACAAATTCAAATCCGTCAAACACTCAAGTGATAGTCCCGTTAGTGGACAAGACGAAACAGCAGAGCCCCAGCGACACCCCAGAAGACACGGGAAAGCTGGGTGCAATCCGACCAGCTCACTTGGTTGCAAGGGTTGCCAGCTTCTTCAGAGGTCACATTCTTTGTACCAGCAAAGTGTCGATGGCTGCAGTAGTTGTGCGAGGAAGTGAAAGGGAGGGTCTAGGAAATGAAAGATTTTCAGCAGCCACTTGGAAGTTCCCTAACGTTCCTCCCATGGGGTCCGCTAGCCTTCAGCTGCTGGTACTCACAGGTAACCCTCCGCCTTGGTAGCAAAACCAGGCTCACAGGCTTGGGTTGCCCAGAGCACATAATGCTCCCCATATGGGCCACCAAATTTGTTACCAAACACAGGTTTGGCCACTTGTCACTGACACTATCAGATAACAAGCATGAGGGTGGTAAAAAGAAAGTGACTTTATTTCACAGTTTAGCAATGGTGAAGAACCAGGTTCGTATCTAAAGGAGCCGCTTGTTTTCCGGGAAGAAAGCAGGGTTTTAAGAAGAGAAACCTTATGCTGGGCATGCAAGGAACATGGAGGTGCGGATTCTACGTGACTTGCTGTAAAACTTATCTCAGCTAAGAGGTCATTGGTTAGTCTGACCAGTGTCATTGAGGACAGAGTCGGAATGTGGATTAACTCTTGTCTTGAGACAGACAGTAGCTTTAAAGTGCAAAGGAAACTGGAGATTTTTAAGGAAAATCAGTGAAGGGAGAAACCTTTATTGGCTTCTCCTCCTTTTGGTGACAAATGTTCTCTTATAAGTAGATAACTGTATTTTAATTATTTCATAATGTAGTGATTTTACCAGCTACAACTAGCAGCATAACATAGGAAAGGCAGGTTGGTGTCCACACAGGGTCACTAAATCTACCTAATACACCATTTACTTTATTTCTAAAAATATCCTTCATCCTTGGGCTTGATGCAGGATCACTGAGTCATGGAAAACTTTGTGTTTTTGTAGTCAGAAATGAGATGAAAGCATAAAGGTGAATTATTCTTTATTAAAGAATTCATTTAAATTACTTTTCTTTGTATCTTTGCTTTTTGTTTCTGTACTGCTCCAGTACTCCCGTGAACCATGTCTGAGTGGAGTAATGATGGCACCACAGTCCAGCCTGCATGGGTGTTGGCCTGAGTGCTCCCGCCTCATGAAATTCAGCCACCTCTTTCTCCAGTCAGTTCCATCTTCTCAACTCCGACTGTCTTCCAGAGTCCGTGTCACACCACAGCCTGGAAACTCTTCCCCAAGCAGTAACCTGAAGCAACAGTAAACCCTCATTATTTCACCTCTCTCAGATGTCACTGTCCTTCATTATTTGATGTGCACTGTCTTGCAATCCATCCTTCCAGATGAATCATCCATTTTTAAATGTGATAAGCCATGTCCAATCCCCATAAGTTTTACCACAACATTTTGTTTCATTCTTCCTGCAGTTACTCCATCATTACTGTACCACCGCCTATATGGATGTAGTTGTCAGTGTGAAGCTGAGTAAGGAACAACGTGCATCAGACTCAGAGAAAAATGGACAAGCGAGCTGGCCTTTGTATCACTAAAGGGAAGGTCAGTTTGGTGAATATGTAATGTCTGTAGTAGTCTTGTTGGGGACATCCACAGCATGTCAATGAATCAAAGACTTAAGTAGGATCTCAAAGAAATAATAATGTCTCTATCTAAACACTTATACACATAATAGACTTATTTACACTTACAGTTCGTCTAGAGTTTTAAATTTACGTTTTATTCGTATAGAAATGAAAGCAATATTGAAATTAATCCATAAATTAACTCACACATATATTGATATTCTCATTATGTTTGTTTTGAATTAGGTTTTGACACTTTTTCAAAGTGATTATTGATACAGTTGGATGAATATCCACCATGTTTGTTACCTCTTCTCATTTTTGCTCTGCCCCTTTCCATTTTTGTCTTCCATTCATTTTCCTTTTTTTGTGGTTTTTATTCAGCATTTCATATAATTCAATATTCTTTCTTGGCATCTCAGACTTTTTTATACTTCATTGGTTACTCAAGGTAAGAAAAGCTTTTAATTTTCATATTCTTAATTGATCTTACATATAACAGCTTATTTAAAATAATTATATTTAATAGCAGACAGGTGTCTTTCTAAAAAATAGTAGCAAGGCTGGGCGCGTTGGTTCAGGCATGTAATCACAGCAGTTTGGGAGGCCCAGGTGGGTGAATCACCTGAGGTCGGGAGTTCGAGACCAGCCTTGCCAACATGGTGAAACCCCATGTCTACTAAAAAAAATACGAAATTTAGCTGGGTGTTGTGACACACATCTGTAATCCCAGCTACTCAGGAGGCTGAGGCAGGAAAATCACTTGAATGCGGGAGGCAGAGGTTGCAGTGAGCTTAGAATGCACCACTGCACCCCAGCCTGGGTGACAGAGCAAGACTCTGTTTCAAAAAAATAAAAGCAATTTATTTAATTATATTTTTGTAAGTATAAGATATATATACACACCTACAAGTAAAATGAAAGACAGGAAAAGAGGGACAAAAGGAAAAACACAGGAAAAAGAAATAGAACTATTATAAGATGGTTACACTACTTCTGAAGCAGTATAATTTTATATGAAAGGAGCTTAGATTAGTTGTAAATATACATTGCAACCTCTAGGGCAGGATACTGGAACGGGAGCCTCAATTTTTCAATGTCTGTGGCCAGAGGCTGCATTTAGTTATTTCCTATGTTGGCTTCTCTTCCATGGCAGAATGTGTCATCAAAGCCACCATGGGAGAGAGCCTGCAGCAAGACAGGAATCATAATCTTAGGTAACATGATTATTCAAGTGACGTCCTATCACGTTGTAGTCTTCTGATGTATCAAAGCAAGTCTCGGTTTCTACGCAAAGTCAAAAGGAAAGGATTAGAATATTGGGTTATGTACACCAAGCTGTGAGGATCATTGTGCAGCATCTGAGCGCTCACCTGCCAACATCAGGTCTTACTTAATCTGGGAGAGGTTCTCAGTCCTCACTTACTTTGGTGACCTTGGCCTTTGTGAGAAAACAGGTCACATAATTTGTAAAATGTATCAGAATCTGGATTTCTCTGAATGTTTCTCATGATTTTACTGAGCCATATAGTTAAAGACATGTAATTATCTATTTGTGAAGACAAGAAACAGCAAACAGGACATTATTTACAAATACAGATTTAGAGACCAAAACTAAGAAAGAAAAGTTTGCAAATGGAAAAAGGAAAATTAAAAATAATAGTGCTGTTGACCAGGGTAACAAAAAGGGTAGGAATAGGGAAGTGAGCACCTGGGACACTACAAGATTGAAAGTGTTCTGCTTACTAAGCTCAATAGTATAATTTTAAAAATATATATGTTTTATTTATTTGTTTTGTTTGCTTGTTTTGTTTTTTTGGTTTTTTGGGTTTTGTTTGAGATGGAATCTCCCACTGTTGCCAAGCTGGAGTGCAGTGGCACAATCTCGGCTCACTGCAAGCTCCGCCTCCCGGGTTCAAGCGATTCTCCTGCCTCAGCCTCCCGAGTAGCTGGGATTACAGCCGCCCACCACCACGCCCGGTTCATGTTTGTGTTTTTAGTAGAGACAGGGTTCCCCATGTTGGCCAGGATGGTCTTGACCTCGTGATTCACCCGCCTCAGCCTCCCAAAGTGTTGGGATTACAGGCATGAGCCACAGCGCCCGGGCTATTTATTTGTTTTTTTTAAATATTTTTTACAATACTTTTGAATTTACAGAATAGTTAGAAGTACATACAGAGAGTTTATATATACTCAACACATAATTTCCCTTTTATAAATTCTTACATTCATTTGAAACACTTGTTGCAGTTGGTGAACCAATATTATACATTATCATTCACCAACATTCACGATTCATCAGATATTGTGTTTTCATGTAACGTCCATATTCTCTTCCAGGATTCCGCCCAGGACACCACATCACATTTAGGTATCTTGTGCCAGTTTCTCAGATGTTTCCTATTTCTGATGTCATTGAATCCCTCCTTTGGATGTCTCTGGTGTTTTCCTAATGACTGGATGGCGGTGTGGATTTAGCAGAGGAAAACCCCAGAGGGAAGGTTTTATTCTCATGATACTGTGACAAGAGTACATAGTATCACATGCTCTATCACTTTTTTTCTTTTTTTGAGATGGGTCTCACTCTTGCTCAGGTTGGAGGGCAGTGGCGTGAACAAAGCTCACTGCAGCTCGAACTCTTGGCTTGAATGATCCTCCCCTCAGCCTCTTGAGTAGATGGGACTGCAGGCATGTGCCACCACATCTGGGTGATTTCATTTACTTTTACTGTTATAGAGGAGAGTCTCAAGACATTGCCCAGGCTGGTCTCTAAGCCCTGGCCCCAAGGATCCTCTCACTCAGGCTCCCAAAGTGCTGGGATTACAGGTGTGAGCCACTGTGCCCAGCTGCTTTATCATGGTTAATGTTATTTGATCACATGGATGAGGCAGTTTAGCTCAGTTTTCTTCACTATAAAATTAATATTATTCTCTTTCATGATGTACCTTTTCGAAAAACATCACTATGCCCCAGCGCATTCATAGAAAGTAGGAAATTATGCCCATTTCCCTATGGGCAGACTTCTATAAACATCATTTGAGTTTCTGTAAAAACATTTAACATTCTTTGGGCTGTTCTGGATCACTTGCATTTTCTGTGTGTTTTAGAATCAGTGGTCCAGAACTGCTAAAATGAAAAAAAATTAGAATTTTAGTAGGGCTTGTTTGATTCTGAAGATGTATTTGAAGTATAAGCATTTCTGGTTAATACTTAAGCTTTCTGACAATTGAAAAACTAGTTTATATAGTATATTACACTAATTCTGTATTCATTTATTTAGGATTTCTTTAAGACTTCAATATTATTTGTAATTTTCAGTTATTATATTTGCAGTTATTTGTTATTGTCAAATATTTTCCTTTTTGATGCCATGTTAAATGAAATTATTTTGAGTGTCATTATTTGATTAGTTTGTATTGTATAAGAATGCAATTTATTACATTGATCATGCATACTGGAATTTTGTTTTTGTTTCAACGTTATTCTAGGGATTTTTAGGATTTTCTATATATTAGGTTATGTCACTGGCCAACAATGTTTGACCTTCTCCCTTTCAATTGGAAATCTTATATTTATTTTCTATCCTACTTTTATAAATTATGTCCTCGAAGCATAATATTTAGTTGAAATTAGTGGGAATAGGTAACCTTTTTGTTATAATTTGGGAATATTACTGAGACCTACTTGATACCATGTGTTGTCATGTGAATTTTTCATAGGTGCCTGTTTTAGGGAAGAACATTCCCTTTATGCAAAATTTGCTTAGTGTTTTTACTGTGAATGGGTTTTTGAATTGGAAAGTGCTTATTCCACATTTTTAGATGTGATAATGAAAATTTTGTTGTTATATTAATATAGTTATTTTTTTATATGTTTTACCAAACTTATGATCCTGAGTAAATAAATAAATTAGTGTTTAATTCTGTTTTACGATCCTGATTTGCGTTGAAACTATTTCCTTCAGAATTATTGCCTAGCTATCCATAAAACATATTAGTTTATAGTTTTCGTTTTTTGGATTGTGTTTGTCTGGTTGTTACCTCAGAGAAAACTGCCTCATAGGACACACTGCACACTGATCTCTTCTCTGTTATTTTATTTTTTTGGAGAACAGTTAGTAAAAAATTGCTGTTGATATTTTAAGGGTTTGGAATAATTCATCAGTGTAATCTTCTCAACCTGGTCAATCACATGAACTTCGAAGATGATTCCTCCCCAGCTGATCCTTCAGGTGAGACCTCAGCCTTGGCAATCATCTACACCTAGATTCCTGACCCAGAGAAACTGTGAGTAATTTGTGTGTGCTTTTGAGCCACTAAGCTATGTGGTAGTTGGCTATGCTGCAATAAACAATAATACACTTGATGGTAAACATAGTATGTTATCCTTGATTAGATCCAAAAAAAGGAAAAATGGCATTAGTGGAAAACCTGGTAAAATATGAAGACAGTCAGTACTTTAGTTAATAGTTTTGTGCCTTTGTCAGTTTGTGAGTTTTCACAGATAGTCTATGGTTATGTGTATGATATTAATATTGCAGGAAATTGAAGGGTATATCAAATTTTTGTAAGATTTTAACAACTCTCTATAAATCTAAAATTATTTCAAAATAAATAGAAGTGTAGACATGGCTCATATATTTGAGATCAGGTCTTCCTGTTAACTAAGCCTTCATGGAACCTAAAACTCATGGTACAAATGCAATAACATTAGAAAATATAAATGAGATGAGTTTCTATTTTACTCACTCTATTCTTCAGGGAACACTAAAGCCCATTCTTCTTCTCAAGTATCCAAAACTAAAGTTGATCCAAGTAACAAGTGGACGGCATAAAAGATTGTATGGAAACTATAATGCATCTACATCTTCAGTTACTAATCATAAAATGATTTGTATGATCATTCTTCACATGATTAGAATGACTATGGGAAAGAAGAAAAAGAAATGCAACTTTCTTGATTTAAAAATCGTATCTGTGCAAGAGTGTGGCACACCCTTCTGGTCAGTCCCAGCTACTAGGGAGGTTTGGTAGGATGATCATGTGATACCAGGAGTCTGAGACTGTGTAGTGTGCTATGATTGTGCCAGTGAATAACCATGCTCTCCAGCCTGGGCAACATAGTGAAACCCCATTAAATAAATAAATTAATACATAAATAAGTTACAGAGATCACTGTTTATATTTCTATTATTAGGGCTCAAAACCTCTAGATAGAGTTTTTGTTTGTTTGTTTGTTTGTTTGTTTTGAGTTGGAGTCTCACTCTGTCACCCAGGCTGGAGTGCAGTGGCGCGATCTCAGCTCACTGCAAGCTCCACCTCCCAGGTTGATGCCATTCTCCTGCCTCAGCCTCCCAAGTAGCTGGGACTACAGGTGCCTGCCACCATGCCTGGCTAATTTTTTTGGTTTTGGTAGAAACGGGGTTTCACCGTGTTATCCAGGATGGTCTCGATCTCCTGACCTCATGGTCTACCCGCCTCGGCCTCCCAAAGTGCTGGGATTACAGGCGTGATGAGCCACTGCACCAGGCCTGAGATTTTTCTTTATCTTTGGAGAACTACGACTCCAGGGCAAACTTTCAAGTACTGCTTTGCCATTTTTACTTTCCCACTCAAGGATTCCTGGAACTATACTTTGTAAAATTATCACACAGCATGTATTTTATTTTTACTTCTGTTTCCTATTAAGGCCTCTCTGGATGGTGGCTATAACCTATAGCCTTGCCCAGTACGACTCAGGGTTTGGTACTGGATGTGCCTTTCATGGGATGCTTGCTTATCCTGATCGATGGCCTAAAGCCGAACTGTCCAGCTTACATCCGGGTATCCTTCTCAGAGAGTACTTGTTTATAGTGTAAGACACCCTGTGGCTCCTGTCTGACCTGTATCTAGTTTATTTCTACCAAGGTAACCACTCTTTAGGAGAGTGCTAAGTGGGAGAAAAGTGATGTCCATGTGTGTTCGTCAAGTGAAATACAGAGGAGGCAACTCAACACAATGTGTATAATGGCGTTAGTAATGTATTACTAATCAATCCCAGTAAGAAGAGGCCAGCATTCCTTGAAGTACCAATGAAAAGAGAAGAGCTCTCCAGGCCACACTCTCATAAGCAGCAGGGGTGGTTGAGGAGGAACTAGAGAAAGACATGCTATTGCCCCATTTGTCTGAAGTCTTTATGGGTGTATTTGTCAGGTTTTTTTTCCAGCGAGACAGAACTACAGGGAGGTAGATAGGTAGGTAGGTAGGTAGATAGAAACGTAGATGGAGAGTTGATAGATAGACAATAGTTAGATGAATGGCATTTTGTTTGGGGATTTACTCGTGTAACATTGTAGAGATGGAGAATTCCCAAGACAGCCATCTGCAAGTTTAAGGACCTTGGATGCTGTAGCGTGATGGCTCAGTCCAAAGCTGAAATCTTCAGAACCAGGGAAGCTCTTGGTGTAATTCTCAGTTTGGGACCAAAGGCCTGAGAATCCACGGACTGTGTATAACTTCTGGAGTTTCAAGGTCATAGATTATGGAGTTGTATTTTCCAAGGGCAGGAAACGGAGTATACTTTCTCCTGGAGAGAGACCGGAAAACTTTTTAAATTTTTTCGTTTTTGGTTCTATTTGGTCCCCAAGGAGATTGTATGCTGCCTTCCCTCATTGAGGGTGGATTTTTCCCACTAAATTCCCTGACTCATACCAACCTCCTCTGAAAACACCCTGGCAGAAACACCCAGAAGTATGCTTTACCAATTCTCTAGGTATTCTTTAATCCAGTCAGCACCTTAAATTAACCATGACAAGTCCAGCACCTTTCTAGTTGGCACCTATATGTATCACCTTAAGCCATAACTAATCTTTAGATACAGACAATAACAAGGCAATAGTTCTACCTAACATGATGCAACCATCCTGTGTGCAACCAAAACACACTATACTATTTGTCTTAAGAGCAGTGGAAGTTTGTGGGTGATGTTTACTCTTCTCCTGATACCCCATAACTTCAATACAAGTATGTTAAATTGCTAACACTTAACTGTAGTATCAAGTTAACACATTCTTGTGTTTTATGACAAAAGAAGAGAGAAATAAGAAGAATGTTATTTGCCTAATATATTGATATATAACATGCAAATGTATTCTTAACAAAGTAGATAGGAAATACTAGTGACAATTTTAATCCTTGTTTCTGTAACTGGTCACCTGGTCCTGTCTGGTATGTATGCATGTATTTATTTTATCATTTTTTTTTAATTTTTTTTTAATTTTTTGACAAAGAATATCACTCTGTCTCCTAGGCTGGAGTGTAGTGACATGATCTCGGCTCACTGCAAGCTCCGCCTCCCTGGTTCACACCATTCTTCTGCCTCACTGAATAGCTGGGACTACAGGCGCCCGCCACCACGCCCAGCTAATTTTTTGTATTTTTAGTAGAGATGGGGTTTCACCGTGTTAACCAGGATGGTCTTGATCTCCTGACCCCGTGATCCACCTGCCTCAGCCTCCCACAGTGCTGGGATTACAGGCATGAGTCACTGTGCTCGGCCCGGTCTGGTATTTATAACTCCCTTCTACAGCTACCCATTCTGTATTCTCTTTGTCTTCAGCAATCCCCTTTGCTGGTCCTGGGTCTTTAACAGGCAGGGTGATGCAAACCTTCATTCCTGAAACATCTGGAGCCGTTGTATTCTTGTCTGGAATGGTTGTAATAATCCATTGAACTTAATAACAGGGAATAGTAATACTAAGACTTTGTTTTAGTCCATTTTCTGTTACTGATAACAGAATACCTGAAACTGGGTAGTTGATAAAGAAAACACATGTATTTCATACAGTTATGGAGACTGAAAAGTCCAAGGGTGACAGGTTGTATGTGGCGAGATCCTGTTGCTTGTTGGGACTCTGAAGAGTTCTGAAGTCTTCAGGGTATCATATGGCAATGGAGTAGAGCTTGCTGATGTGCAAGATCATGTCTCCCTTCTTATAAGCCACTCTTCTCTCATAATAGACTATAATTCTTTAAATATTAATGTATTGATCCATGAAGGGATTAATTCTCTTATAGGATCAAACTCTTCATGATCCAATCACCTTTTAAAGGCCTCACAATTCAACACTGCCATGTTAGGGATGAAATTTCAGCATAAATTTGGAAAGGAAGCAGTATTCCAACCCTAGCACTGCACTTCTGACTCTCTAAAAATCACACCCTGTGACAAAAATTTTATTTCATTCCTATAGTTCCAAGGCTTAAATTGTTCCAGCACCAACAGAAAGTTCTAAAATCTAAAGTCTCCTCTGTCAGCCCATGATATCAAAACAAGTTTTCTTGATACAAAACTCGGCAGTTGGGTTGTTAATGCCCACTGTGTTCATGTTGGCTGCTGTCCAGATAGAGCCACTTTACCAAGATAAGGGAATTACTATAGAGAAAATTTTATACATGTAGAGCCAGCTAAAAGAGAGAGCAGAGTTTCCATATTACTCTAAACTGCTTCTCCAAATACTCAGAAACTAGAGTTTTTATAGATAGTTTTGTGGGCAGGGGGTTAGAGAAAGGGACATGCTGATTGGTTGGGTCAGGGATGAACTCTTAGGAAGTCAAAGCCGTCTTCTTTGCTGACTCAGCTCCTGGGTGGGGGCCACATATCCAGATGAGCCAGTTTACTGGTTTGGGTGGCACCTGCTGATCTGTAAGAATGCAAGTTATGAGAAATACCTCAAACACCAATCTTAGATTTCACAATAGTAATGTTATGTATAGAAGCCATTGGGGAGTTAGTTAATCTTGTGGCCTCTGATTGTATGACTCCCGAGCCAGCTTTCTAATAAAGTGGTTAATTTGTTAATTTTACAAAGGTGATTGTGGTCCCCAAACAATGAGTGGTTTTGTTTTAGGGAGGAGCTGTTATTATCTTTGTTTCAAAAAACAAAATTATTATCTTTGCTTCTTCCAAAGTTGGTTTTGTTTTTGCCCAGGAATAAACAAGGGCCGCTTGGAGGTTGAATGCAAGATGAAGTCACTTAGGTCGTATCACTCTCCCTGTCATAATTTTCTCAATTACTGTTTTTGCAAATGGGATTTCAGTTTCCCCTTCTGAGTTTCATTGCATCTTATTCTTAAGGTGTGAAGTACAGAGTTGGGAAAAGGCCAAAGACCATTCTAACTTCTTTCTGCTGACAAGGGGTATACTTGAGATAGGCTTTGGCGCCAGAGTAAATGGAAGGAAACTGCTTTGTAGCTGTCTGCATGTATTCGCTGATGCCTGGTTGGGGTTCCTAGGCTTGCATGACAGATGTTAGTACTGTCATCCACAGTTTTAGTACAGCACTTAAGTGAACAGCAAACTCTAGGATAATGGGTCCTAATATAAGGAGTGGAAGTCCTAGCTTCAGAAGTCCTTATGTAATTTGTCTAAATCCCTGAGGGATTAGAGTGAATAGCCCTAAGAACCAATCAGACATGGGGTCAACAGTCAAGAGAGATTTGGGTCAGAGGTTGTTAGAAAGACAAATTGGGATAAACAGGAAAGAGCAAATTTAAATATACCATCTCATATCTTTTTAGTTAGTTTCCTAGTTCTCCGAATATATCCTAGCTGTGTTTCATTCCAGGAGGTGTCACTGCAAATGAAGGAGGCTCCCTTATGTGATTAAGGTAAAAAATATTTTTAATAACAGGCATTTGTAGGGAAATAGAAAATAATAACAAAGGTTGATAATGGACACAATGTATCCAGATGTTAGATTCAAAGCATTTTTAAGTTGCAAAGGAGGATAGCGATGACAATCTCACGTATTTTTTATCTGTATCTCAAGGGATAAGCTTCAGCGTGCAGGGCCTCCGGAAGAAGGTTGTAGCCATTTCATTGAGTCCAGGTCAGAAAAGGGGAAGAAAAATGTGGATGTATTCGTTTGAGGACTTTAGCTCTGAGAGATTTCAGGATTCAGTACAAAGTGCAGAAAATAATAAAAAGCTCAAAAACAATAGACAAGACTAGAATCTAACAACAGGTGTGCTATAGTATTTTTGTGAAATATAATGTTTCGCTCTCTTGTTTTCATTTTTATTTAAGACATATCATAGTAGGACACATGTATTTGCAAAATAAGTTTTGGTATTATTATAGTTAGCCTGATTATTTGTGTAAAGTTCAGCAAGAATAATTATTTCCCATATTAGCTCTTTCTAAGCTGGGTTTGCTGGAACTTTGTTCCCTAAGGAATCTCGGATTGAACTTTTTTGAAGCCTTGAAGGGATGTATCTGTGCCTGTAAATACTCATACACATTGGTTGAATTTCTCTCTTCCTCAGCTCCCAAGATAACTTGGGAATCATAGGCCTGTCAGAATGTGACAGGTTTTACTTACCACAGGTCAGGAACCCTGTGCATAGGCCTGTGTAGATAGTTAGGAGGCCAGTTTCTTCAAGGGGCTTTTATCAACTTGGTTGGTCAACTTTAATTCCTCAAGCCTGTCTGTTTGTATTTGAAGGTAGGCCATTCCACTGGTAAAATAACCATGTCTTTGGTAAAATAATCTGTGTCTCCAGTTGTGTTCTGTTACAAAAGAAATCAGATTCTTATTGTACTTAGGTAAATAACTATATCTCCATAGTATAGAATACTCATAAATAGTTTTCAAATTCTGGAGAAATCAAGTAGAGAATATGAACTATCTTTCAAGTTTTGCTCACAGGAATATACTTTAGTCAATCATGAGAAGCTGTAAATAGCTGGAAAGAAAAATGTTGTCTTGACTCTGAAAAATGACAAAAAGGCTCAGCAACTTTTCAAGCAACAAGTCATAAAAGGATTATGTTGGTCTTCTATTAGTTCAGTCCATGAAGTTAACTTTGTCTGACCTTGAGCCAGCAGTCCTCATAAACATACAGCTATCTGTGAGAGTCCTGGAAGTTTGTTTTGTTTTTTTCCTTTTTCAATGCCCCAATCTTTAGTTATGAGAAACCTGTATTCAAGAGAACATTTCAAAGAGCAAACACCTTTTGAATAGTTTAAAAAAAAAAGAACCACAGTAATCTGTGGATGACAATTATCTCAGGACAGCCACTGTTTTATTAATTTTACTTTGATTTTTTTGAGACAGCGTCTCAAGCCACCCAGGCTGGAGTGCAGTGGTACCATTATGGCTCACTGTAGCCTCACCTTCCTGGGATCAAGCAATCCTCTTTCTTCAGCCTCCAGAGGAGCTGGGACCACAGGCAAGTGCTACCACATACAGCTAATTTTTTCATTTTTTTGTAGAGATAAGGTCTCACTATCTTGCTCACGCTGATCTCAAATAGCTGAGCTCAAGCAATCCTCCCGACTTAGCCTCCTAAAGTTCTAGTATTACAGGCACGAGCCACCGTGCCCAGTGAGGACATTACAGGCATGAGCCACTGTGTCCAACGAAGCCATTGTTAAAGACACAATCGACAAAGAAATCTGGTCATTTCTGTGACACATAATTTAACATAATAAACATAATTTTTACTGATAACATATACAAAGACATATTAGAATTATAGGAACCATATAATTTTGGAATACATCCTAATAACATATTTATATAAATATAACCCAAAGAAAGTTAAACATAATTTTGTATTTGACAGTGTTTTCTGTAGGTTGATATACCAAATAAACGAAATATGTCTCTTTTGGACTTCAGGGGACCTAATACTTAAAAGATAATGAGTTAAAATAAAAATTGTTAGTTTATAGTTGTATTTTTCAAAGTTTGCGAATGTTAAAGGCTTAAAACACTTCATATCACCAAATAGAATCCCAGATAACCACAAATCATTTGCTTAGGCAAAATGATAGCTCAAAAATTTTAAAAGGCAAAAGCCTTTATTCGTTGGTAAAGAGGAGACTCTGCTCTCCCAACAACAGGACCAAATAAAGTCAGCATGAGGCCATCTGAATCTGTATCTTCTCTCTCCCCTACTTTTTTCAGTTTATTTAGAAGACAAATAAAAAATACTTTATTATCTCTCAGTATTATACAGAAATCTTATTTAAAGA